CGCCGCGGGTTGCTGGTTGCTCGGGGGCCTCTCGACCACGCAGCTCTGGGGAGACTTGATATTGCAGCTGGCGGTGGGCTGGACGCTGCCCTGCGGCCCGAGGCTGCAGCTGCTGCCCAAGCTCGCGATCGGCTGGGTGACGACGCAGCTGTTCTGGGTGAGGGTGCTGGAGGAGGAGAGCCCTCCATAGGAGCAGCTGCTCTGCGAGGAGTTGTTGCCGCAGATGCTGCCCCCCATGGTGGAGTCGTAGCTGCTGGGATTCTCGTAGTTCTCGGTGGTGCTCTCGATGCTGCCGAGGTCGCTGAAGCCGCTGTCCACCACCTGCTGGGAGTGGTCCGACACCGAAGGCACATCCATCATGGGGCTGGTCTCCATGTTCTGCATAGAAGGTGCGGAAAGAGAGCCTTGCTCTGGGCTGATCTGCGTGTAGCTGCTCTCCAGGGTGCCAGGCACGCTGGGGCTGCTGACCGAGCGCACAGACTGGCTGGGGTGAGACTGGACAGAGGAGATGGGGCTGTTGTGTTCTGAGGCCTGGCAGTCTTCAACCATCGGCATCTGCGGGTCCTCTTCAGCTTGGGTATAGCTCTGCAGATTCTGGCAAGCAGCCAGGGTCTCCTCACAGTCCTGGTAAGCCACATCGTGCTCGTGGTTTTCTTCCTCTTGGGTCAAGGACTGCACTGCTTGGACAGTTTCAAGATCCAGTTCACTGTGAGGGATCGGCTCTTCTTCCTTGAGCTCAATTAACCCTTCCTTAGGATGCTGCTCTTCTTCTTGGTCATCTTCAGAACCAGGAACTGGGTCTGACCCTACTGATGTCTCATGGGATATCTGATCCTCCTCAGAATCTGCCTCTCCTTCACTCTTATTCTTGGCATCATCTTCTCTACCGTCCTCTGTGCTTGTTTCTAAAAAAGGCTCCTGGACCTCTGGTTCTTCCTTCAGTACCTCCTTTTCTGCCTGCTCTTCCAGCTCATTCTTTTTGACAGACTCCACATGGCCATCATCTTCTTCATCATCTGCATCATGATCTTCATTCTGGTTAGCTACTGCTGCAACTTCCTCTTCTTCCTCTTCCTGGTCATGCTCAGGTTCTTCAACTTCCTGCTGCTCTTCTTCAGACGGCCTCTGCTCTTCTAGGACTTGAGGCTTCTCTACGTCTTCCTCCAGTTCAGGTTCTTTAGATTCCATTCCTGGGCTGTTACTGCTGTCTACAGGAGACATTGCTCTCACTTCTCTAGTAGGTATATCTTCCTCTTCTCCCAAATCACCTACTTCTGGAGGCCCATCTTCATCTTTCCTTTCTTCAGCACTAGGCAGAAGTTCTTCCTTCTGTTCAACCAGCTCTTCCTTTTCCTGCACTTTTGTTTTACGCCCTGATTTCAAAGTGGCTTCCATGTGATCTGTGGTCTCCTCTGAAGCAGATGCTAGAACTTTTCCCCTCCTCAGTTGAAAGCCTGGCTTGCGCCCAGGCCTTTTCTTCCAGTGAATGGGCTTGCGGCTCTTACCCTTGGGCCAGCCCTTCTTCTTTTTCATGGGGGTAGAAGTGCCAGGCTGGAGTGGAGAATCTATCGCTTCACATTTTCTCAGCATAGAAACTGGTTTCAAAGTAGGAGAATCTGAAGAAAATACAAAACAGAGGGGGTCAAATTTGGAACAGTAATCCACTATTACTTATTGTTAGCGTTACCAAATTCTATAGTTGATCAATAATGTTCATTTATACTGAGGATTATTTGTAATAACTCAATAAGGTAATTTTCTCAAAATCCTGAAATCTGTGAAATAATGTTATCATTCACTGTTATCATATTCATTTTTGTCTTTTTCATTTTCTTAGACAGAGACACGTTTAGTCTGAAATAGCTGGAATTTGGGGAGTAGAACTACGCCCCTTATTCTCACTCTTGCTGAAGACTATTGTCTGAGTAAAGTGTGAGCATATTAAGTAAACTTTTCACCCCTATATATTCTCACAAAATCACACAAAATCTGGGCCACTGTGACTAGGAAGATTGTCCAACTGTTTCAAGGTCTGAAACTGGGCAAATAAGATTGGTCAACCCCTACACTCAACAGTTATGACACTGAAGCATTTCTAGAAAATAATAATAATTCCCCAGTGAGGCACTACCTTGACTTGGTTGTGGGGCCTGAGTGCTCCAAGGAGGATGAGAGCTATAGAAGAGGTTCAACCACACTGGACAGGTCTCATCAGAGGAGTCAGATGAAGAGGGTCTCTCCCATAAACAAGATGGTGAGACGTAATTTACAGAAACCTCTACCAGATCAGTCGTTGCCCAGGTCAACAAGGACCACGCTAGGTGTTCTAGTTCCTGGACATCTGGTGACAAGTGGGCTACAGGACTCAGGACTACTGGAAGAAAAGTTGTTTACCCGTCACAAATATACAAGTATTTGCAACAGTAAACAACAATATAAATAACAATTTGTATTTTATTTCTTTGTTATCAGATAACAAAGAAATAACAATCTGCTACTACAAATCAAGTCCAACAAGAAGAGGATATCTGAAAAGAACACACCAGTTCTGGAAAGAACATCCAGAATCAGAAATAACAGAACAGAGGCTAGCAGATCAACGTCGATTTATAATACAAAATAAAGTATTCACAGAAGTAGAACTGGAAGAACTACAGTGGTACCTCTACTTACGAATGTAATCCGTTCCGTGACTCTGATCGCAAGTTGAGTTGGTCGCAAGTCGAAGTAAATTTTCCCATAAGGTTCAATATAATTACCGTTAATCCATTCCGGCATCCGCGGACCATGCATCAGGGGCGGAAAAACGGCCGCTGACCACGCGGCAGGGTGGAAAAAATGGCCGCGGACCACGTGTCAGGGGAGGAAAAATGGCCGCGGACCACGTGGAACGGGCGGAAAAATGGCCGCGGACCACGTGGAACGGGCGAATTCGTAAGTAGAGGTACCACTGTACAAAGATCTACCCAGGGCACAGAAATCGAAGCCTTGCCAGAAGTAACTCAGATTGTAGAGGCAAACCAGGGGGAGTCGGCAGTAGAGGAAGCTAGCATAGCTATTGAATCATTTTCATTCCCAAATCAGGCGCTCTCTCCTTTACCTTCTCCTCAGAAAGAACAAAGCTAACTAAAATACAAGAGGAACTGAAACAAAGAATCTAGAACAGCAGAAAAACAACGGAATAAGGTTGTCTGCATTGAAGCTTGTTATAAAGAAATACCTAGCACAAATATTAAAAGATGCCAATACTGTAATATCAAATATAAGCACCAGCTCACTGCAGGAAACAAACCAACTGATATACAGCACAGCTGCAGTTATAACTAAATACCTTGGATGCAAAATCAACAAACAAGAAAAAAAGCCAAACAGCATACCACCAAATTGAATATCAGGTTGGAAAATAAGATCAGCATGCAAGCGAGCTAGAACAGATGAAAGAAAAGAAGCTGAAGAACAAGACCACCAAAAAATACCGGATCAAGAAATATCACAAGGAAGATCAAAGAAGCACTGGAAATAATAAAGCAGCAAATAACAGTCATAGCCAAGATGATCAGCAGATACGAAGCTCAAATTGCACACTGTAAGTAGAATCTCCAATTTCAGTTGAATTAGAAACATTTCTACCAATCCATCAATGGAGAAACTGCAATGAACCAGTCAATATCTGACAAAAAAGAAACAGTGCAGTTCTGGGTGCAGCTATGGGACAACCCAAAGAAATACTACAAGAATGCAGCTTGGATAAAGGAGGTGGATACAAATAAAAAAGAAGCTGAAATGAAAAAACTTGTAATAACAGCAGAAATGTTGGAGAAAAAGGCAAGGAAGATCACGAATTGATCAGCACCAGGTGAAGATGAACTGCATGGTTTTTGGTTGAAACATCTGACTGCT